GTCAAGTTGATGAGCCACAGTTTCAACCAGATTTTTGTACTCGGCTACTCGTTCTTTCTCCTCATTCTCAAGGTTTCAAACTTGCGTATTAGAGTTTAAAGCATGACTTGCTTAACTTGGTCATCCCATTTGTATGTCTTGTCTAAGATTTCTCATGCTTTTCTTGATGATGTAGAGCTTACTATCTTCTCAAAGCCAGACTCGTCCATAGCTTGGTACCATATGTACAAAGTTAATTTGTCCTCCACTCGCATTTTTCTCAATGCAATAGCCTAGGCAACCATTTATTCTTCATTTTCATGTTGGCTTTTTGTATCCATTCTCAGCTACATCCCACACATCTTAGGATCCAAGAAAAGCCTTCATTTGTACACTCTAGTTATCATAGTTTACCTTCTTTTTCAACTGAGTTATGAAAACACTATTTGTAAATTTGGCCATCTTATTATTCCTTCCTCAAACACTCAAGCTTTCTCTAACTCCTAAAACACTCAAGCAAACTTTGCTCTCTCCCCACTCAGACACTTAGGCTCATAAGCTATGATGCCAACTAGTTAGGAGAAGACACTCACTTAGAATAATTTGAATTTGTTTCAATGTGTATTTATATCACATGAACATCACAATTTAAAGGACAAACATTTGGCCTTTCATCTCTAAGCCATATTTTCTCCACAAAACATAGTACTATAATGATAATAAATATAAAAACATAACATAACTCTTGCCATCCTAATACATTAAATATTACCACTCACTGTCTAATAACTTCTAAATTTAAGTTTATTCCAACGTCCTTATAATTTTTCTTAAATTTTAAATTTACCAAGCAAATCTTTCAATTTATTATAATTGTATTTATTATAATTGTATGATTTTTGATTCGTACAGTATCATCCAAATCCTTCAATCATTATGATTGTTGACACACACATACACTCTCAGCTTAATATCGAATAATCAAATTTCAATTACAATTTCAAAATTGCTTTATATGCATGACCTTAAATAACACAATTACAATCTATGCACAAATTTTTGATAGATGGAGGACCTGAATTCAATTAGCATAATTTAAATTTTAGTAAATGTAACTATATAATTTCAACATCTATAGAACTAAAATTGAAATTAAACCGTATATAAATAAAGCTAACTAATTATGGGAGAGTAATCTTTACAAAAAAAAATGCATATAAACAAAATCTCGTTCTCAGAAGGAAGCAGTAATTTCATCCATAGAGTTAGTATTTAAATCTTCAGAAGACATTTTCTTATCAAAGTAACCTCTTTCCAAATAAAAAGCAGGTTTTTGAGGCAAGGTAACTATTGAACTTTCATTTGTTAACATTGATACAACATCAAACATTGTTGGTCGATCATTTGCATATTGTGCTACGCATAAGAGACCCACTTGAATGCATCTTTTCACTTCATCAAGATCAAATGACTCACTCAATGATGGATCTACTAATTGGAGAGGTGCACCTTCTTTCCATAACTCCCACGCCTATCAATTTTAGATAAATTAGACAAAGAGGAATAATATTAAGAAAAAGGAACTCTTTTACCGTAATTTCACATACATGTCCTAGAAGATTAAGAGGGAGATCAACATCATATAAGCTAGTGTTTCTTCTCCCACTAACAATTTCAAGCAGCAACACTCCAAAGCTGTAAACGTCAGATTTTGTAGAAAAAATTCCTTCCATGGCATATTCAGGGGACATGTAACCACTACAAGAAAAATTTATTCATAATATGACAAAAACAAGCTTAATTTACATATTCTTATGTTGGAAAGAAATAGTTTTGAAAGCTTACTAGGTTCCAATAATCCTACTAGTATTTTTCATGGATTCTTCCTGTGTAAACATTCTTGCCAATCCAAAATCAGAAATTTTTGGATTCATATTCTCATCAAGAAGTATGTTACTAGCTTTCAAGTCTCTATGAATTACTTTTAGTCTTGAGTACTTATGAAGATAGAGTAATCCTTGAGAGATTCCTCCTATTATATTGAAGCGCTTCTTCCAGTCCAAAACCTTGCCTTTGTCATAATCTTCACAAAGAAAGGAAACATAAATATTCTGAAAATATATACTACAGATAAAGGTAAAAAGCAAAAGGACTTTCTTAAGTTATACAGAGCATGAAACATATTGCAAAATTAAGTTAAGAAATAATTCTCACCAAATAAATAGCAGTCCAAGCTTTTGTTTGACATGAACTCATAAATTAGAATCCTTTCCTCTTCATAAATACAATATCCAAGTAGTTGTACAAGATTCATGTGCTGAAGTTCACATATAAGCACCAGTTCATTTTTGAATTCTACAATTCCTTGTCCTGATGTTTTTGAAAGTCTTTTTATGGCAACTTCTTGACCAGAAGGAAGGATTCCCTAAAATGCCAACAAAAAGATTATTAGAACTTTAATAAAGAAACTTATTAATAACACAAAAATCAATACTTGGTCTCATATCACCTTATAAACAGGTCCAAATCCTCCTTCTCCTAATTTGTTTTCAGAAGAAAAGTCGTCTGTTGCCGACAATACTAATGTATAGTGAAACACGTTTAGATTTTGTATCATCTTGAATTCATCGTCCGAGGCTTTGACATCAAAGAATCTATTTGGTGCTGCTAAATCTGCCATGTTATTCTCAGCGACCCCTTTTCTTTTTTTCTCTGTTTAGATTGAAATATGAATGATTAAGATTGAGATCAAATAAAGAAATTAAGTTATAAAGCATCTAGAACCATGTTTATTTCATATATATAACTAACCTTGAAGCAGACGTTTTCTTTTCTTTATGACAAGGGCAATTGCACATATTACTAACAGAGCAGCTACTACTGAGACAACAGTTATCCATATCCACATTTTTTTACCTGCATGCAGCATTCAACATTTACAAACACAAGTGACTAAAGTTAAATATTAGTTACTTTTTGTGCTAAGTAAAATTTATAAACTAAGTTAAAAGGGAAGTACTAAGAAGTTGTGAAACTGGATATGGTAAGCATACCTTTGTGATGGTTTCTGTTTACAAGTAAGTAAAATGTAGAGCCCCCACTAGCAAAATTAGTACCTTTGATGAAGTTCCAGTGATAGAATACACAACCAGTTCCATCATTATCATCATAATTTGTGAATCCAGCACAAGTGCAGTTTCTCCAGCACATATCCCGACAATCACTTAGGCCATAACTCGAATTTGCTAGATTGGTTATCATGTCTTCATTGGGGTACCCTTCCCTTCTGTCAAACACATCACCAGGATGCCTGCATAATGGTATCTCCTCCCATTTTTGGCACCCTTCATCTGTGTTGTAGCCATAACACAAATCAGCCCTCGCAACATTATTATCGGCTCCATTCCGATTTATCAGCTGCCCAGTTTCTAAAAGCGCCCATCTTGTATGCTCTTCATTGAAAGTTGTTATTGAGAAGTAGCTTTCGTTTTCATTTGAGACAATAATGTAATATGTGTCGTGTATGAATCCACCGTTTCCCAGATTCCCACTTGCCCAACACAATTTTCCTCTTCGCTTGATGGTCAATTCCCTTTCAGTGGGTTCCCATTCAAGTTCAAATGCCCCAAGACTTGGTTTTTCAGAGGTCAACCACGAAACTAGTGACCATTTATGACCACTCTTGTGATTGACACCTAACTTCATCCCAGGGAACAAATTATCAGTAGGGTAATCAAAACTTTGCCACAGCGTTGTGTTTGTTCCATTGGGGTGAAGTTGTTGCAGTACAAAGTTGCCCGTGTCCAACAAGGTGGCGACAGTGTTTTCGGAAGGTTGTGGTGAAGAGTAAAGGATGATGGGTTCAATATCTTTGGATTCTATTTTCAGTACACCAGAATGGCTTAGCAACAGACTTGCATCCTTGTCAACAGGTTGATTTCTATTACCAATCCAAGACGGCCAATACTCATATTTGGGGCCTATACCTGATATGATCAAATAACAGCAGTTGTCAAGTGTTTGAAATCCAAGGCCATAACCGTTTTCAGATTGAACCAGGGTGGTGGAATTCAGTTTTTCTCCAGGCTTCAAACTGTTCTTTTCGGAGGTAACGTGGATACAAGTGATCCACCACCAGAAGCTCAAAGCAAGCACAAAATATTGAGGTTTACAACTAACCATCTTCGGTTCTCGCCCGGCAATGTCACAATATGCACCGAATTGGTTCAACATATGGTGGTTGGCAATGACGAACTCGCTCGTGAGAAGCCGGAGCGTGAAAGGCGACCACGAAAAAAGAGCCTTAGCGTCGCCGATCCGGCCCTCGTTGCACCAGTAGCGCCCCACGACGACTTCTGACAACAATGGAACAGGTTATCTCTCATGTCCAAAGCGGAAGAACATGCGCGAACGAATGCTTCAACTTTTTGTCAGTTGCCTAATTCGCTGGGAACAAATTCAGATTTGTCGGCTTGATCAAACGGTTCGGAACGGATTAGGTTTTTTTTGTTACTTCTATATCTGATGATATCGTAGGAAGCGGCTCTAACATCTTCGACCGCGATACCACCTACGTGCACCGCCATGAGCACGAGATCTGCATCCTCATGCGCACTGTCACCAATATCAGCACCCTCACCAATGTCAACCTCCGCCAGGGACTATGACGTTGTGTAGGAGGAAGGAGTTGTACAGGTGGATCGGAAGATGAAAATAAACTTTGTATAGGAAGAAGAGTCTCTTAAAATTACGTTTAGATCTTATTAAAATTAAATAAATAAAGTGACTGTGTAAAATATTTACAAACGACATACTATAGATGGAGAGTCAGGTAATAAATGTTTCAAAACTTAAAGAAGGAGCACAATAAAACAAACATCATTAAGTAATCCTTAATAAAGTATATGGAAACTCTCTCATTCTAAACATTATCCAATCTTCATCATTTTTCTCTCCCTTTTTCTTCATCTTCTATCAATTGTGAAATCTTTCCATATAATTTAGAAGTCGTTTAGTACTTTAGGTATATCTTTTAGTATTAAGGACAAGAAACTAACTGTTAATAACCAAGAGACAAAAAAATAAAAAATAAAGCTTAAAAGTAATTTATATCCATTATTTTCATGAAGTTTGATCTAATCTAACCCATTCAGTTCAAGAAAAAAACATTTAAAATTGGATTGGATTGGATGTACCGATAATTCCATTTTTATTTTTAAATCTAATCAGTACAACTAGTGCGGTCAAAATAGGTTCGAACTCACGAGCCAACTCCGTTCACTGCGGGTTTGAGTTGTATTTGATTTAAAAAAAATATAATTTTTTTATGCGGACTAGTTTTCAACTCGGCTCACTGGATTGAACTCGTGGTGAGTCGGGTTAGCTCACGAACCCACTTAATTTAATTTAATTATTTATTATTTTTGTGTTTCAATATTATTAATTAGCATTTTTTTATGGTGATAAAGAATAAGATATTTCAAGAGAGAAAAATATTATAGATTTATCTATTTAAGACTCTAATATTATAAATGGACAAGTGATACAAAAACTATCAATATTAAAAACTTATTTGTTCGCCTTTTCTACATGTTTTTGGACTGTATGATACTTTTTTATTTTATTTTGATTTGTCTTTGGAGTTTAAATAATTTTACTGTGAGGTTTATTTAGATTTGAATTAAAAAGAATTGTAATTTTTTTATTATAAAAATAACTTATAATTAAATGAGTCAGTGAGCCAACCTGTTTAAGTCACCAACTCGTAGTGGGTTGGGCTGGATTCGAATTTTTTCAGCTCGTTAATAAGTGAGCCAGGTTGGATTGACTCACTAAGTGACCAACAATTGGTGGACCGGGCCGGGTCGAGCCGGGTAACCCGTTTTGACATCTCTAAGTACAACATTTATTGTCATTTAGTTTTTAAATTTGTTTTCATACTTCTTTTTCCTAAAGCATAGTTTGAAATTGTAAATAACTTTCTGTCTAGAAACCATTTTAAAAAATTGTAACAAATGAAGGTTTATTTAGAACA